AAAATATCTACAGATAATAAGTGCTGGAGATACTGTGGAGAAAAGGGAACTCTCTCTGTTGGTGGGGGTGTAAATTGACACTGCTACTGTGGAGGTGACATGGAGATTCCTTAAATACCCAAACATTGACCTACAATATGACCCAGAAATCCCACCACTAGACATATGCCCGGAGCAAACCATAAATCGAAAAGACACATGTACTCCAGGTTTCACTGGAGCACTATTTACAATAGCCAGGACATGGAAGTGAGCTAAATGTTCATCAATAGTTGAAGGGATAAAGAAGATGTGGTGTATGTATATGTGTGTATACACACACACACACACACACACACACACACACATACACAATGGAATATTACTCAGCCACATAGAGGATTGGAATACAAAAATAGGAAGTCAAGAGATACCTGGAGTATCAGGCAAGTTTGTCCTTATAGTACAAAATGAAACAGGGTGAAGACTACCAGAGATTTGTCAAGAGTACACACTGCTCAGATCAAGCATCTGTGTCCAATAACATAAGAGACAACTCTGCACAGGGACATCACCAAATGGTCAATATAAAAATCAGATTGATTGTGTTCTTTGCAACATAATCAGTATAAGATGGAAAAGGTCTATACAGCTAGTAAAAACAAGACTTGGAGTTGACTGTGGCTTAGATCATCAGCTCCTTGTTGCAGAATTCAGAGGTAAGTTGAAGATAGTAAGGAAAATCACTAGGTCATTAAAGTAAAACCTAAATCAAATCTCTTATGATTATACAGTGGAGGTGACAAATAGATTCAAGGGATTAGATCTAGTAGACAGAGTGCCTGAGGAACTATGGACAGAGGTGCATAACACTGTACTGGAGATGATGACCAAAGCCATACCAAAGAAAATGAGGTGCAAGAAGGCAAAGTGGTTGTCTGAGGAGGCCTTACAAAATGCTGAAAAAAGAAGTGAAAGCAAAGAAAAAAGTGAAAGATAGACCCAACTCAATGCAGAACTCAAGAGAATAGAAAGGAGAGATAAGAAAGCCTTCTTCATTAAACAATGCAAAGAAATAGAGGAAAACAATAGAAAGGGAAAGACTAGAGGTCTCTTAAAGAAACTTGGAGATATCAAGGGAACATTCCATGCAAGGTTGGGTTTGATAAAGGACAGAAATGGTAAGGACCTAAGAGAAGCAGAAGAGATTAAGAAGAGGTGGCAAGAATATACAGAAGAACTATACAGAAAAGGTCTTAATGACCCAGATAATCACTATGGTGTTGTCACTCACCTAGAGCCAGACATCCTGGAGTGTGAAGTCAAGAGGGCCCTAGGAAAAATTACTATAAACAAAGCCAGGGAGGCGATGGAATTCCAATTGAGCTATTTCTAATCCTAAAAGATGATAATATTAAAGTGCTGCACTCAATATGTGAACAAATTTGGAAAACTCAGCAGTGGCCACAAGACTGGAAAAGATCAAGTTTCATTTCAATCCCAAAGAAGGGCAATGTCAAAGAATGCTCAAACCACTGTACAATTGTGCTCATTACACATGCTAGCAAGATAATGCTCAAAATCCTTCAAACTGAGCTTCCACTGTACCTGAACCAAGAACTTCCAGACGTACAGGCTGGATTTTAAAAAGGCAGAGGAAAGAGATCAAATTGCCAACATCATTGGATCATAGTGAATGCAAGGGAATTCCAGAAAAAAACATCTTGTTCTGCTTCATTGACTATGCCAAAGTCTTTGACTGTGTGGATCACAACACACTGTGGAAAATTCTTAAAGAGATAGGAATATCAGACCACCCTGTCTCCTGAGAAACTTGTATGCAGGACAGAAAGCAACAATTAGAACTGGACATGGAACAGTGGACTGATTCAAAATTGAGAAAGGAATTTGTCACGGCTGTATATTGTCACCCTGATATTTAATTTCTACGCAGAGTACATTATGTGAAATCCTGGGCTGGATGAATCATGAACTGGAATCAAGATTGACAGGAGAAATATCAACAATATCAAATATGCAGATGATACCACTCTAAGGGCAGAAAGTTAAGAGAAATTAAGAGCTTCTTGATGAGGATGAAAGAAGAGAGTGAAAAACCTGGCTTAAAATTCAACATTCAAAAAACAAAGATCATGGCATCTGGTCCCATCGCTTCATGGCAAATCAAAGCGGAAGAATTGAAAACAGTGACAGATTTTATTTATTGGCCTCCAAAATCACTGTGAACAGTGACTGTAGCCATGAAATTAAAGGACACTTGTTCCTTGAAAGGAAAGCTGTGACAAACCTAGACAGTGTATCAAAAAGCAGAGACATCACTTCTCTGTCAAAGGTCCATATAGTCAAAGCTATGCTGTTTACAATAGTCATGTGTGGATGTGAGAGTTAGACCATAAAGAAGGCTGAGCGTGGAAGAATTGATGCTTTCTAATTGTGGTACTTGAGATGTCTCTTGAGAGTCCCTTGGACAACAAGGAGATCAAACCAGTCAATCCTAAAGGAAATCAACCCTAATATTCATTGGAAGAACTAATGCTGAAGCTGAAGCTCCATTACTATGGCCACCTGATGGGAAGATCCCACTCTTTGAAAAAGTCTCTGATGCTGGGAACAGCTGAGGGCAGACGGAGAAGGGAGGATGAAACGGTTGGATGGCATCATCAAGTCGATGGACATGAGTTTGAGCAAACTCAGAGATAGCAAAGAACCGGGAAGCCTGGCATGCTACAGTCCATGGGGTCACAGAGTTGGATATGACTGAAAGACTGCACAGCAACAATAGCAACCAATCATTATTTTAAAATGAAGGATGAATTAGACTGATGATGTATAATGCCATAATAGGTGAACAACTTGGAATAAGATGGGATGGAGAGAGCTAGAATCATTGAAGGGATAGACTGAGCAAAGCAATCATTTATAACTCATTAAATCATGAAGTGAGCTTTGTATAACTACAAGCCTTCATTTTCTGACCTTTAATTTTCTACATGGTGAAGAAAATTTTTTTGTGTGTGGCAAGGGGGAGGGGGTGGCTTCCCTGGTAACTCAGCTGGTAAAGAATCAGCCTGCAATGCAGGAGACCCTGGTTCAATTCCTGGGTCAGGAAGATCCTCTGGAGAAGGGATAGGCTACCCACTCCAGTATTCTTGGGCTTCCTTGGTGGCTCAGACAGTAAAGAATCCACCTGCAATGCAGGAGACCTGGGTTTGATCCCTGGGTTGGAAAGATCCCCTGGAGGAGGACATGGCTAGCCACTCCAGTATACTTGCCTGGAGAATTCCACGGAGAGAGGAGTCTGGCAAGCTACAGTCCATAGGGCTGCAAAGAGTCGTACATAGCTGAATGACTTTCACTTCAAAGTGCTTTTGGTACTTAGAACAATGTGGTATATGACAAGTCTTCAATGAATATTTGTCAAGAGGAAGAACAATATTTCTATTTAAAGTTGCAGGAGTGAACTTAGCAATCCCTGTGTGATCAATGAAGATGTGTCACATTAGAAGAATAGCATCCAGTCTTCTGGATAAAGCAACTTCTGTTTGCTATGGCAGGAAGGCTAGGGTGCCAGGAAGAACTAACCCCCTCACACGTGTACCCAAAACTCTGGCACAGGCACATGTAAGACTACTCGTAGCCATCAGACGCATGAATGATCGGAAGTGGGGCGAGGAGAGGGTTTGCTCCCTAGTAACTCAGAGCAGAATGACAAAGAGGACTTTGAGTTTTCTCTAGCTCCTTAAAAGATCATACTCAATTCCATTTCAGTTGCATTGTCTTTTGGCATCTGATCTTTTCATCACCCTGGGCAGCCTCGTTGTTGAGCAGTTGGAAAGTCAAGACTGCTGCATCATACAAAGCTGTTGTACTTCACTGTCATGAGACCACAAGGTGATGGGAATTCCTCCATTCTAAATTCCATCTGAATAAATGTTATTTTCTTCATGGTAGTTGTGTGTTATTTCGCTAATGCTGTGTGAGCCACCTGTGCAAGGACTAGAGGGAAAGCTGTTGCTCTTTCTCCAGGGACAGGTGGGTAATCCGCAATTATGGGTTGTGAGATATTAAATAGAACCCACATCTTCCCACGGGATCTCTGAGTCTGCTACTTTCTTGGTGGTTCAAGTCATGCAAAGACAGCTGTTGACAGAAGAAAATAGGTAAACTAAACACACTACTGGCAGACATAGAACTTATTTTGTGGTGTGATTGGCAAAGAACATCTATCTTGTCAAATTCCTTGAAATGGATTTCTCCATTTGAGGTACTATTTCTTGTAGCCCAAGAGGTACAGGTCTATCTGAATTTCAGACTGTTGTGAGATTATATCTGTTCTCAGAGAATTAGTAAAAATACCATCCCTCATTTTTCAGTAAAAGTGATCTCACACACTTGTAGCTAACAAAACAGATCACCTACTCTTATTTTTAGTGTTTTGTAATGATGGCAGTGTGTCTTGATTTTTGTAGGATATTATTTCTAAGATAATTCCTTAAGGCTATTTAAATGTAGCATGTCTTACAGACTGCAGTTTTCTATACTTGTACTTTTAAGGGATCTATACTTAATAATTTAAAAACTTTTAATAAATGCTAAGATTCAAGAAGTATATAGAACCAAGTCTAGGAATTAGGAAAGGGCCATTAAAAACTCCGTTGTACATTTCTCTTCCCAGCCTGCTGAGTTCTCAATCCTAACACTACAGTAGAATCTCTTGGGTGAGATTTCTTAAACTGCTGATACCTGGATTCTAACTGAATCAGAAAGTCTCAGGTGGGGAAGGAAGCCATGAATAATTCCTAAGACTTCCCAGATGACTCTCTTGTGTACCCACGTGATAGTACTCTTGGCTTCTTTTCAATGAAATGAATCAAGCAATTAAATTAAGTTTTAACACCCAAAAGTCCTTGAAAGTTCTCAAGTAAATTCCATGGTCATAATCCCTTCCATTAGTATACAGAGGGAGATGGGGAACCAGGCATCCTCTGACAAGTAATTACCTTCTGTGGAGAAGATAAGGTTGCCAATAGCCGAAGGTGGTGAAGTGAAGATGCAGGAGATCATGCCACAGCAAGGGAGGCTCCATCCCGGTGCATCTGAGTTCCTCTGGTGTAAGCAGAAAGTCATTCTGAAAATAGCACAACTCAAGGAGATTCCTTGAGAGGAAAGTAAAAAAGACTGAACTGCCTTCTCAGCATGTCTCTTTTCCTGGTACATTTATTGGTTTCTATCATCAAATATAAATCAACTTTGATTTAGAATTGTATTCTGCTTATATCAGGAATTTTACTCTATCAGAATTCCTTAATATAATTCTATTTTTAAAAAGTTAAGACTTCAGAGAATGTATTTCTGGGAATCTGCAGCAATTACTCTTGCTTTTATTGTCTTTATAGAAAATACTTTTTCAGTTTAAAAATCCATGGAACTATCTTTAACTGTAACCACAAAAATATTAGTAAATGCAGTGACTATAAGATTAGATGAGACTCTCAAAACTCAGTTTTTCCCACATATAAACTGTCAAATGATGGGACTGACAGCTTTCACATGGAAGCTTCACATCCATCACCAGGCTCATGTGTTGTGAATTTCAAGCTTGTCAAAATATACTCTGAAAAGGTTGATGGGTCTGATTTAACCAAAGAATTGCCAGCATGCATCAATATAGAGAAAGTAGAATATAGCCCAAGCAGTATCCTCTGTGCTCCGTTCCGTAACAACAGTACCAAGGAGGGCTTACCCAGAAACTGCCAAGCAGGTTTGTTCAGATAGGTAAGACTCAATCTCAGAAGAAAGATGAGGATTTTGAAAATAGTTATTTTGGACTTGAATTAGGAGACCACCGTTATACTAAAATCCACTAGAAATATTTTCACTAGATTTTAAGACACAACTTACTCTGTTTTTCAGTCAATAAGTTCAAAAGAGGAATAAAACCTTCCATGAGGTACAAAAGAGAAACATTTCATTCTTGGCTCCCTCCACTGACCTTAGACCTTGCTGAGCAGTAGAGGCCTGGGGATGGGTGGGACAGCTCCAGCTTCAGTGGGGATGTGGGAAACCCACCAAAAGGTAGACGGATCAAACATGTACTAAGCACACCTCATAGACAGTGTGTCCATCAAGAATTAGAAAGCCAGATTTCCCTAATCAGTCATATAAAAAGAAAAAAGTTCTGACAATATCATAGATGATAGGAAATGGATGGCAGTAGATGACCCATGCTAGAAAAAAGTAGTGTTTTTCTTAAGATATCATGCATTAGTGGACAAGGTATAACTTAGTAATAGGGGCGGTTATAAGAATGAAGCTGACGTTATACGTGCAGATGTGCTGCAGTATGTTTTGTAGTGTTCAGCTATCAAAGCAGACCTACAGCGAGAAATCCAGGTAGAGTTTTTTATGCCCCAATTCAACAAAACAGTTTGTGGTGTAAAAATAATAAAGATGGTTGTGATGGTGATGGATGGATAGCGCAGTTTCTTAGGTCAATGGATATGTACAAGCACTGTTCTAAGAACTTTAAGGGTGTTACCTGATTTAATCTTCATAATAACTGTAGGAGGTGGGTATTGTATAATCTCTCTTATACAAGTAATGCAAAGAAATAGAGGAAAAACAGAATAGGAAAGACTAGAAATCTCTTCAAGAAAATTGGAGATATCAAGGGAACACTTCATGCAAGGATAGGCACAATAAAGGACAGAAACAGTAAGGACCTAAGAGAAGCAGAAGAGATTAAGAAGAGGTGGCAAGAATACACAGAAGAACTATATTTTTAAAAAGTCTTTAAAAAAAAGAACTATATTCTTTTTTAAAACTGTATTTGAAAAAAGAATACACAGAAAACCACGATGATATTGTCACTCACCTAGAGCGAGACATCTTGGAGTGTGAAGTCAAATGAGTCTTAGGAAGCATTACTATGAACACAGCTAGTGGAGGTGATGAAATTTCAGCTGAGATACTTAAAATTCTAAAAAGATGATGGTGTTAAAGTGCTGCACTCAGTATGTCAACAAGTTTTGAAACCTCAGTGGTGACCACGGGACTGGAAAAGGTCAGTTTTCATTTCAATTCAAAAGAAGGGTAATGTCAGAAAATGTTCAAACTGCTGTACAATTGCACTCATTTCACATGCTAGCAAGGTAATGCTCAAAATCCTTCAAGGTAGGCTTCAGTAGCATGTGAGCCAAGAACTTTCAGATGTACAAGCTGGTTTTAGAAAAGGCAGAGGAAACAGAGATCAAATTGCCAACATTCATTGAATCATCGAGAAAGCAAGGGATTCCGGAAAAACATCTACTTCTGCTTCACTGACTATACTAAAGCCTTTGCGTGAATCGCCACAAACTGTGGAAAATGGTAATACCAGACCAGCTAATCTGCCTCCTGAGAAACCTGTATACAGGTCAAGAAGCAACAGTTAGAACTGGAAATGGAACAATAGACTGATTCCAAATTGGGAAAGCAGTAAGACAAGGCTGTATATTGTCACTGTGTTTATTTAACTTCTATGCAGAGTACATCATGCAAAATACCGGGCTGGATGAAGCCCAAGCTGGAATCAAGTTTTCTAGTAGAAATATCAACAATCTCAAACAAGCAGATAATACCACTCTCAAGGCGGAAAGTGAAGAGGAACTAAGGAGCCTCTTGATGAAAGTGAAAGAGGACTTAAAACTCAACATTCAAAAGACTAAGATCACGGCATCTGGACCCATCACTTCCTGGCAAATAGAAGGAGAAGTGGAAACAGTGACAGATTTTATTTTCTTGGGCTCGAAAATCACTGCAGACTTGAACTTCAGCCATGAAATTAAAGGACACTTGTCCCTTGGAAGGAAAGCTATGACAAATAAACAGCATATTAAAAAATAGAGATATCACTTTGCTGTCAAAGGTCTATAAAGTCAAAGTTATGGTTTTTCCAGTAGTCATGTATGGATCTGAGAGTGGGACCATAAAGAAGGCTGAGCACCAAAGAACTGATGCTTTTGAACTATGGTGCTGGAGAAGACTCTTGAGAGTCCCTTGAACAGCAAGATCAAACCAGTCAATCCTAAAAGAAATCGACCATGATTATTTATTGGAAGAACTGATGCTGAAGCTGAAGCTCCAATACTTTGGCCACGTGATGCAAAGTGCCAGCTCGTTGAAAAAGATTCTAATGCTGGGAGAGATTTAAGGCAAAAGGAGAAGAGGGTGGCAGAGGAGGAGATGGTTAGATAACATCTTCAACTTAATGGACATGAGTTTGAGCAAATTCCGGGAGATAGTGAAGGACAGGAAAGCCTAGCATGCTATAGTGCATGGGGTGGCAAAGAGTCGGATGTGGATTAGCAACTAAACAACTCTTGTAGAAGTAGCTTATGCTTAGGGATATTAAATACCTAGACCAAGGTCATATAGCTCATAATGGTATGGAGAGAAAAGAAACCCGTATGGAAACCCTCAATTTTTGCTTTTCATATATAGCAAAATCCTATATGCAAATATATGACAAAAATATTTTCAAATATCTATATGCTTCCCTGTTTTCCCCAATATAGCAATATTCCACAGACAGACTTTCCATATAGAATCTCAAAGTAGTCATGTTTGGGTGGTACCCAAACAAATCATGTTTTTTCTTATATACAGCTGGTACCGCTTTCTCAGAACACTTGATCATACTCCTCTACTTGCCCTTATATCACACAGATTTCTGTGTGATATTATTATGCAAACACAACCAGTACCTGGAAATCAAGTGTTTTTCCTCACAAATATTCTTCTTGCAGTATTTACACTGCAAAGCTATTATTGCTAATAGAATCTGGTATACTGCTTAATGTTAGTTAACATGACCCAAGGAACGACTGAGCATATACAGATCAAAGTATTACTTATCAAATTTAAGGTGATATTTTCCATATGTTTCATTCAAAGAGATGGGGTTAATGCTGTAGAAATATCTTATATTTACCCAGATCAAAAGAAAGCTTGTGAAACCTGTTATCACCATCATCTTTCTGGATTCAAAGATACGACACAGAGAGTAAAGTGAAGTGATCATAGTCACAGAGTTAGGAAAAGCAGACTAAACCTGATCATCCATCCCCTGCAGAGCGGTGATCATATCCAAGGCAGCAGGCCAGGTGCCCAAGAGAAAAAGTGGCAGGCATATTTTCATCATAGCCTCACTCTGGGGCTGCTTTCCTGGGACTTTCAGTTGGGAATCAAGAGAGCTCTTAAGAACACTGCTTTTCATTTATCTTTCATTTATTCTACAAATACTTATTGAACATGGGATTCAGCAGACAGTCCCTGCCTTCAACGTGCTCAGAGCCTAGTAAGTACACAAATAAGAAAAAAATCACTGATTTATGGGTACAGTAGAGGGACTTCTGACCCAATATCACTGAAGTCTTTCATATGCAGGCCACTCAACAGCTGAGTGTTAAAGAACTAGTTGTGTAGCTATTACCCTGGGACATGGGTGCTGTGCCGTTCAGAAAGGGTAAATAAGATTAAAAAATTTAGGAAAACAATCTGCTTAAGAAGCTTGATGAGTTGGAGGAGGGGGCATAAGAGGCATGTGGGGCAGTGTTTGAGGAGAAGAGGGCAAAGGAACCAGATAATGAAGACTCTTTTATTTATTTATTTATTTATTTATTTATTTATTTATTTATTTATTTACTGTAAATGAAACAAAGATGAATATTTTTAATGACAAAAGGTACAGTTCACAAAGAAGATAGACATCATAAACCATTAGACACCTTAACGACAAGGAAACAAAGATACATAGAGCAAAAATCAGAATAAATATAAGGGAAAAGAAAAACATGTATAATTTTACTGAGACATATTAACCTTTCTCGATAATATTTTATCAAGTGCAAAAAATATAAGAATAGTAGCATCTTAAATGATGTCATTAATAATTTAAATATGATAGATTTATATTTAATTAATTTATATTAGTAATATCCTACCCAAATATATTTAAAATTTTTTATCTCATACATTGTAATTAGATGGCCATATGACATTTACAAAAACTAGCAAAAAGACAACCATCACTAAATTTCAAAAAGTAGAATTCATTTTTGTGTGTTATACATATATACATATATTATTATATATATGTATATTATATATACATACATATATGTATTATATATACATATATATATTATTTTTGAAATTACTTTCCATTATAGGTTATTAAAAGATATTGACTGTAGTTCCCTGTGCTATACAGTAAACCTATGGTGCTTGTCACATATCTATTTTTTAATTAGGCAAAACTTCATAAGTTTTCTAAGATATATATACATATGATATATGTATATATATATAAGCTGTTCTACTACACTTGATAAAGGCTTGAGAAAGAATATCAAAAAAGAAAGGAAGAAAGAAGAGATGGAGAAATTGGAAAACAAACTAAATGAAATGGGAGCCCTGAATATGAAATAGAAAAAGTGAAACAAGCTAGATAAATGTAAAAGATCCTCATATAGTACAGTTGTTTTTAAACATGGCTGCTCATTAGAAACATACTTGGAGCTCTGGCAAGAAAAAAAAAAAAGAAAGCAATACCTGGGCATTTGTAATTTTCAAAGAATTCCAAGATAATTCTGACATGCATCTAGATTTTAAAAAATTATTACAGGTTTTTCTATTAAATGATAATTTTGGTGATATAGAAATCCATGATTTTTCTGTTGACCCATCATGATACAATGGTATTAAGTGAATAATAGTTACATAAACACAACAGTAAAATGTTTATCAGTTTTCATAATCAATAGCTAGGCAAAAACTAAAAGATAATTGCAATCGCAAGCCATAATAGAAACATGATTAGCCTAACAATATAAAAGAATTATATACAATTTGGGGGGTCAAGCAGAGTGATAGGGTAAGTGGAAGTGGATACATGCACAAGTTTTCATCTGCTCAGCCAATTTATGTCTTTTGGTTGGTGCATTAAGTCCATTTATATTTAAGGCAATTATTTATAGGTATGTTCCTATTATGGTTTTATTAATTATTTTGGGTTTATTTTCTGTAGCTAGATCTTTTCCTTCCCTTGTTTTCTGCCTAGAAAAGTTCCTTTAGCATTAGTTATAAAGCTGGTTTGGTGGTGCTGAATTCTCTTAAGTTTTGCTTGTCTAGAAAGCTTTATTTCTCCATCAAATCTGAAGGAGGGTTCTGTCCATGAAACACAACCTAATTTGGAGAATTGTTAGATAATTGCAGACCCTGTGCAAAAGATATAGAGACTTGAGTGGAAAAAAAAACATTTTAGGAGACTATCATTGCCATGAGCTAGAGTAGATTCATAGTGAGGGTTGAAAATGGAAAAGCAGGACATGGTGACTGACTTGATATGTGGGTTCAATATGAAGGTTGACTCATGGTTGGTTTGGGTAATTGAGGAGTTGTTTGGAGCTGATTGAGGGAATAAATTCAAAAAGAAGTGTTCAAGAAACTGATAAGAGAGGTGGTAACATTACAACTTCAACTTCCAATATGATGAGCCTGAAGTGTTTGTAAGATGTGGAGATGAACCTGAAACAATGTGTCTGAGGTTAAGGAAGGTGAACCAGAGTTGAAAAAGGAAATTTGGATGTTTTCTGCAGTACGTTATAGATTAAGTCATGGAGATGAATATGCTGGGTCAAACAGATCTTATCTCATGATAATGAGTTTCATGGCCAGAACCCTGGGCAAGCAGCAGTTATATGGCACCAATAAAAGATAAGGCAAAAAAGTAGATTGGATGGAAAATATTTGCTCAAATTCTTAGAAGCCTATAGAATGCAATGTCATCAAAAGCAGGCTTCCAATTTCAACTCAGACATACAAAGCCCTTGAAAGTCCTCATTACTTAAGGGAAAAGTTGGACAAACAAAATACAGGTGATTTTCTTGAACTCAGTGGAGAATTGAAGTTGTAGGATGAATCAACATTACAAAATCAGGGGAGTTTGGCACATCCAGAGAGCTACAGCTCTCAAGATTTGCTTACCTGAAGCAGAGGCACTGAATGCCAGAAGCCATAAGGAACAGTTAAATAGTAACTTTGAAGACTTACTTGAGGCTGAGAAAATCTGGAGAAACTTCAATCACTATGAGATCTCCCATATTTCTGCAGGTTTTTGTCTAGCAATTTCACCAGGATTTCATAAAAGGGACCCAAGAAAGTTCCTAACATTATACTGACAGGAGATGGGAAAGAGCAGCCATTTTGAAACCTTTCCAAAGGCTTCTATCAAACAATGGGAAATTCTGAAACTTTAGTTCTGTTGGAAGAAGGGACACATGCTCCACTCCAAGCTGCTCCANAAAAAAAAAAAAAAAAAAAAAAAAAAAAAAGAAGAAGAAGAAGAAGAAAATGTGATGATGAAAATGAATAAGGCCACAGTGAATATCAGACAGGGCTTAAAGAAATAGACCAGGAAAACTGGAATCAGGAAGATGAACAGGGGCTTGTGAGGGAAGTTTGACGCCTCAAAGAAGGACATTCCTGAAATATTTCTGAAAGCCACATTCCTGAGTCATAGGCACACTAAAAGACTGACATTTAATCAGAGGATTAGCAAATGTCCTCCTCCCCCTTATCCTAAAGTGAAACAAGCAGTCCTCCATTAATAACAGTGGATTACAGTTTAAAGAATTGCAAGACACAGTCTCTAAGGACTGGTAAAAAGGGAGATCCAAAAGACAGAAGGGGAGGGAAAAAAAAGTCCACTGGAGGAATTTGAAGCCTCTGATATATGGCTAAATTAGACATTAAATGTAGCCCTTCTGATAGATTAGCATAAATTCTCGTATGAAAGTAGTTTACCTCAGTACCTATAACCTCCTGCTAAGCTTCTCCATCCATGGAATTCTCCAGGCAAGATTATTGAGGTGGGTTGCCATTTCCTTCTCCAATTACCCCTTAAAACATGGCTGGATTTCCTTAAACATTAAAAAGATATGTTAATTAGCAATAAACATAGCTGATGACACAAAGAAATTATCAGAACCAAACTCAAACATACCACAGTTATTGGAATTATCATACGAGAAATTTAAAATAACTATGATTAACATGTAAAGCTACCAGCAGAAAAAATAGACAGCATGTACTAAAAGAAGGAAATGGTAGCAGAGAGATAGGAAAACGTTTAAAAATCAAAATGAAATACTAGGAATCAAAAGCACATTATTAGAAATGAAGAACAATTTTGACAGACTCAAAAGTAGATTCAAAATAACTGAAGGAGAAATCAGTGAACCTGGAGATAGGTCAATGGAAACTTCACAAATGGAAACAAATGTAAGAACAAAAATTTCCCAGAATTTTGGACAATATCAAAAAGCATGACATACAGATGATTGGAATAACAGAAGGAGCAGGAAGAGAATGGGAGAGAAGAAATATTTGAAGAAATAATAACTGAAAACTTTCCAAAACTAATGACAGATACCAACCACAGATTTTATTTTTTTTTTGCTTCATTTATGTTTATTAGTTGGAGGCTAATTATTTTACAATATTGTAGTGGTTTTTGCCATACATTGACATGAATCAACCATGGATTTATATGTGTTCCCCATCCTGAACCCCCCTCCCACCTCCCTCCCCATCCCATCCTTCTGGGTCATCCCAGTACACCAGCCCCGAGCACTTGTCTCATGCATCCAACCTGGACTGGCAAACTATTTCACACTTTATAATGTACATGTTTTGATGCTGTTCTCTCAGATCATCCCACCCTCGCCACAGATTTTAAAAATCTACTAAGTAACAAGCATAATAGAAAAATTAAAAGGAAAAAAAAACTGGTCAAATTATAGTTAAACTGTAGATATAAAAAATAGAGAAAATCTTGAAGAAGATAGAGGGAATAGACCATCTTATTTATAAAGGAACAATGATATGGATTACAACAGACTTCTCACCAGACACCATTCAAGAAAGAAATGAGTAGAGTAAAATCTTCAAATTGTTAAAAGAAAAAATATCTGCCAATATGGAATTCTACATTGGATTAATTTCATATCTGATATTTCATTAAAAGTTAAGGGAAAATATTTTTCAGAAAAGAAAGCCTGACAAGGCTCACTGCCAGTAGCTCTGCAATATACAAATGACAACAGGTTTTCAGGCAGAAGGAAAATTGTGTGAGCAAAAAAGAAAGGAAAAACATTAAAAGAGAATAAATGAAGGTAAATTATTTTATTTTCCTATTCTTATTCATCTAGAATATAACACTCTTTTTAAAGCAAGAATACTTACAATATGTTGGTATTGACAGCATATGGATAAATGAAAACAATGTCATAAGAGATTGGAGGGGGAATTGGAAATGCTCTCTTATAAAGTACCAGTACTACACATAAAGCAGTATAGCACTATTTGAAGAGAACTTAAATTATTTAAAATGTACATTTCAAAACCTGTAACAATTACTAAAAATGTTTTAAAAGTAAACAAAAATTACATGTAAAGAGAGGATATATAATGGAAATGTACAAAATATGCAATTTAAATCATGGAAGGCAGGAGAAAAAACAGGAAATATGGGGGGAAATGCAAAGAACAGAAGACAATTAGCAAGGTAGTAGATTTTAATCCAAGTATACTGATTAGTATTCTAAAAGTTAATGGTCAAAATTCACCAGTTAAAAGACAGATATTATCAACTTGCATTTTTTATGAAAGGTCCAACTGTACTGTTTTTAAGAAAATCCACATTAAATATAAACTTGGATAGATTAAAAGTTGAAATTGAGGAACATATGCCATGCTAACACTAATTAAAAGAAAACTGCAATAAAAAAGACACATTTTTTAAATTTTCACCAAGAACTTTATTGAACAACAGATTCACCATTTTGTTCCACCATATTCTGCTTTTTTTCAGGCAACTTCATAATTCCATCTTCTCAAAACTTTTTATCTTTTTGAGCAAAGAACTGTTTCAGGTGCTTTTCACAGTCTTCCAGAGAATTGAATTTTTTTTTCCATTAAAAGAATTTTATAAACTGAAGTAAACTGACACCCAAAACTGCAATGTCTGATGAATACAGTAGATGAATCGGAACTTCCTGGTCAAGCTTTTTTTTTTTTCAGTTTTTGCCTAATCTTCAAAAAGCATGCAGTCTTGAGTTATCCTAATGAAAGATTATGCTTTTTTCTGTTGACTAATTCTGGACACTTTTCACTGAGTGTGACTTCAATTGATCTGACTGGGATCAGTACTTGTTGGGATTAACAATTTGATTTTCCAGAAGGAACTCATAATAGAAGACTCCCTTCTAATTCCACCATACACACATCACTTTCTTTGATTGGAGACTGGCCCTTGGTGTGGTTGGTGATGGTTCATTTCACTTGCCCTGTGATCTTTTTCATTTCACATTACTGTAAGTATCAACTTTTCATTTCCCATCACAATTTGTTTTGGAATGAAACACTTTTATTGTGTTTCAGTAGAGAATCTCATGAGGAAATATAGTCAAGGAGGTTTTTTCCCATTTAACTTATATGAAACCCAAGCTCAAAATGATTAACATAGTTTCTTTTGTTGTGGAAAAGCTTTTAAGTTTAATTAGGTCCCATTTGTTTATTTTTTCTTTTGTTTCCAATATTCTGGGAGGTGGGTCATAGAGGATCCTGCTGTGATTTAGGTCAGAGAGTGTTTTGCCTATGTTCTCCTCTAGGAGTTTTATAGTTTCTGGTCTTACATTTAGATCTTTAATCCATTTTGAGTTTGTTTTTGTGTATGGTGTTAGAAAGTGTTCTAGTTTCATTATTTTACAAGTGGTTGACCAGTTTTCCCAGCACCACTTGTTAAAGAGGTTGTCTTTTTTCATTGTATATCCTTGTCTCCTTTGTCGAAGATAAGGTGTCCATAGGTTCGTGGATTTATCTCTGGGCTTTCTATTCTGTTCCATTGATCTATATTTCTGTCTTTGCGCCAGTACCACACTGTCTTGATGACTGTGGCTTTGTAGTATAGTCTGAAGTCAGGCAGGTTGATTCCTCCAGTTCCATTCTTCTTTCTCAAGATTACTTTGGCTATTCGAGGTTTTTTGTTCATCGCAGCACTGTTTATAATAGCCAGGACATGGAAGCAACCTAGATGTCCATCAGCAGACAAATGGATGAGGAAGCTGTGGTACATATACACCATGGAATATTACTCAGCCATTAAAAAGAATTCATTTGAATCAGTTCTAATGAGATGGATGAAACTGGAGCCCATTATACAGAGTGAAGTAAGCCAGAAAGATAAAGACCAATACAGTATATTAATGCATATATATGGAATTTAGAAAGATGGTAGTGATAACCCTACATGCAAAACAGAAAAAGAGACACAGATATACAGAACAGACTTTTGGACTCTGTGGGAGGTGAGGGTGGGATGTTTTGAGAGAACAGCATTGAAACATGTATGTTTTCAAGGGTGAAACAGATCACCAGTCCAGGTTGGATGCATGAGACAAGTGCTCAGGGCTGGTACACTGGGAAGACCCAGAGGGATTGAGTGGAGAGGAAGGTGGGAGTGGGGATCGGGATGGGGAACACATGTAAATCCATGGCTGATTCCTGTCAATGTATGGCAAAAACCACTACAATATCGTAAAGTAATTAGCCTCCAACTAATAAAAATAAATGGAAAAAAAAAGAAAAAAAATGATTAACATAGCAAAGCTGGTGTAAATGATTTTCAGTGCTTGATTTGGATATTTTGAGTATCTTGGCTATCTCCCACTGGTGCAATGTTGATTATTCTCAGTTAATGTCTTGAGTTCATTGCTATTAACTTCAACTGGTCTATCCAACCATCGAAGAGGGTCCAGTGAGAAAGCTCTAGCATGAAACTTCACAAACCACTTTTGATGTATTCGCTCAGTCACAACACCTTCTTCATACATGGAACAAATCGTTTTTTGTGCTTCAGTTGTGTTTTTACCTTTCTTGAAATAATAAAGCATAATATGCCAAATATGTCACCTTTTTTCTTCCAGTTTCAATATTAAAATGGCTACACAAATATTCACCAATTTTAATGTTTTTTTTTAAAGCATGATGATATGACATTTGTCACAATACAACCTAACAAAATTGTTTCAAATGAAGTTAAAGAAAACTAGGCACTATAAGAGTTATCTTATGGGGGCAAAAAAGAATGAATCTTTTGGCTAATAAAATACAGGAAGCAAAAACTTATCCAGGTAAAAAGATAGA